AAAGAAAGAAAATAATGTTTATTTTATAACAATTTAACAGCATCGAATTTCTTGTTTCAAAAATTGTAAGAAATGATGTCTTTTCTCAAGTACGGCAGAAACAAGTCTTTTCATAACATCCTTTTTTAAATCAAATCATCTTTTTTAAATCAAACAGTTCGAGATTATATAACAGATATGTCGTACGTGACTGTTTCGTTCAAGATGTATTATATATACATAATATTGTACATTATTGAAAACAAATGTATACCGAATTTTAATAAATATTCGTTTGAAGTGCCAAGTTGAATATTGACTAAGTGTAATCATGTATATTTACTTTATAACTATTATAATTTTTTTATTTAACAAATATTTTTTATAAATAAATGTTATATAAGTACTATTCAATTATTTATTAAAATTGATTATATTTTTCTCTCAGCGTAGAGATATTATTTAAATAAAATTTTCAGGCAGAGGATTAAATCGAAAACTGCGAAGTATGCTGCAATTCATCGCGCACATAAAAATTGCGAAATTTATCGTTATGTTTACGCATAATCAATTAGTATATTTTTGCTTCTATCGCTTTTTCTATATATAGCCATACGTATTCATATTAGATTTGACAAAGTTTGAATTTGTTATCAGTCAGCACCCACGCGATACGCGGACGCTATGTGTCTGGCGCGTTTAAGCACGCGCGTGCGATTCCATGCTCCAGTCTCCAGTATCGCTCGGTCTCTCGTCGGAGTGTGTCGCGGTAGTACCTGTGTGAATCGACCGAGAGGAAAAGAGAGTGAAACCTCGTCGTGTTGTGTTCCACGAAAATCTCGTTTCACGATTTCCGCATTCTCGGAATTACGTGCTGCACGATTTGCTGAAGGATTTTGCGCATTCGGACTTTCGCATGTTTATCATCAATTATATCGATATGGATGATGGAGTGTGAGAGTGGTACTTCCTGAACAATCGGACAATCATGTATGCACTAACGTGACACGCGATATTCGTTGATTAATGATCAGTATCAATTGTATGCTAAAAACTCGATTCATATGGCTAAATCTTTTCACGTAATTTCTATCATTTTGATCACATTGCAATATTTTTAACCATACAGAGGTACGATTTATTTAATGCTGCAAATTCATTATCAGAAGAAAAAATTTTACGAATTGGTCAACAAGGAATATTTTGAAGCATTTGCAATATTAAGTGGATCTCACCTTACAGTGAGTTTAAAAAGTATTTGTACAGAAAAAATGTTCATGCAAAGCCTTATTTGTGGAAAATAGACATTAACTAGCACTTTATATGTACAATGAATATAGTATAATATCTAATATAAATAAATATCTATGTGTATTCCTGATCTTGAAACAGTACTTCCGTTCTTAAGACTGTCTTAAGTAACTATTTAAGATGCTAATACAGCCCTCTGATTAGCTTATGACATCTTAAGACAGCACTTAAGATACTACAGTTTTAACTGTATAGAATTTTTTTGTGAATTCAAACAATATTAGGTTGGCAAATAAGTTCATTTGATTTTTAAAATGGAATAAAACACAATATTTTTAATTACAAAATTTTAATTATTTATGTGATTTGATATAGCAAAGTTTTGACTTTAAGTATCTGTTTTTTTTTTAATTGTAATACAATGTAAAAATGATCTTTTATATAACTCGCAATTAACTCAGTGACAAAAATCATAGAATCATTTTTTAAAAATAAATTTTTAGGGAAAACTTTAAGCTTTCATATTAGATAAACAAAAATTTTTGCAACTTTTTTTGAGCACATAACAGATCCATACAGTGAGAAGAAAATTTTTTTATTTTTTCCGATTCGAAGTTTCCTCTCATAGTTTTTTTTTGTATGTAAAAATTACCAAATTCACATAAATTCAAAAACATAGTTACCTTTTAAAGTAAAGATTTCAAGATT